AAAGTTGTTAGCCAGGAGCAAAAATACCTATAACATTACCAAAGGTAATACAAAAGTGATCAATCCATCAAACCCCTCAAATGTTGACTGTTTAATTGACACCTAAGTAAAAGTTGACTATTTTTTCACTAATGTAGACAAAAAATATTCTCAGATGAATTTTTATGGATATTGATCGATCATCGTATAAGTACCCTAAAATATTAATTTAATAAGTGCAATAGTGACATATCTATCAAAATTCATGCCACGTGGTTTCTTTCTATTACCACGTATCTCGCCCCCTTCTTCCTCCCTTTCTATTTATTTTTCTTGTCTGTAAAACCTGTGATTCAACATAGTGAGATAAGTTGTGCACAATCGATGATTGAAACTGGGAACACTTTCTACGCCGCTCTACTTTAAGAACATTGTCATAACTTTAAGCATTTTCATTCATGATAGGTTTAAAATTTTCAAATAGTTTTTGTCACTTTTGCAAAAAAACAAGTGATGTAATGTGATATTTAGTCAAAAAGATATTTTCTCACATGATATTTGTACAATAATCGATTAACTTTCAAAAAATTTCATTTGAGAATATTTTTTATCTATGTCAGCAAAAAAATGGTCAACTTTTGCTTAGATGTCAGTTAAACGGTCAACATTTAAGAGATTTAATGAATTGGTCGCTTTTGCACCAACTCTGGTTATATTGTAGGTATTTTTGTTTCTGGCCGACGACTTCGTGGGTATTTTTGCCCTTTTATTAGTCCATGTCAATAAAGACTGATACGTGGCATGCACAGTCAACATTTAATGATTAAAATTAACAACGTTAGGTCAAAGTTAATGGTTTGGTCACTTTTGTACCTGTTCATATAATGTTATGGATATTTTTATCCTTGTCATCACTTTAAAAAACTGGGTGTTCCTGACTGATCACTTTATAAATATTTTACTCCTTTACCCTTATAATAAATGAAAGTACATATTCCCTCCTGTTATATATATATATATATATATATATATAGGTGGGTTTCTAGAAAGAATTGATATCTCTTTTTATGCTCCCATAGTTCAATATCTATATGGCATTTTTAAACGAATGGTATTTTAGTATGTTAGTCAATTATTTTTAAAGATTATGCACTTTTTTTATATTTATCTTTATTTAATATGATGTATGTATTAATTAAAAAATCTTACACCCCCTAATTAAAAGTGTTTTTGATTAAAAATAGCATTAATTACATTTTAAAATATTTAAAATATTTTATATTTTTTAATATTTTAGCTTAAACGTGTGTGTCTCTCTAATATTTTTAAATGGAGAGGGTAAGTTATTTTGCATAAGCTGATAAAAAATTATTTTCTATGAAAAGGTCGATCATGAATTAATTTCTTTTGACTTTACCCTTTTCATTTCGATAAGTGAGCAGAGAGTCATAAAAAGTTAAAGGGGAGAAAAAGCGTTTTTAAACATAATGTATTTAACCAAGATAAATTGATAAATCTCTTTCTTTTTAAGATAACATTGACAATTTAATTGCTTCTTCTTGATTTTGATAAGGTAATTAAAAATAACTTATAAATACAATTAAAAAGAATATATTATCTCAGGTTTTTATTATTAGGCCCTTATAATCACCTTACTAGAATCAATAAAATGTAATTAAATCATTAACTTTATTTGAAAAAAAGTATAAACTTTAACATATGTATAATATTAGATAAATGTAATTAATATCTCACTAAATATTTTTTATTGAGAACTATCAATTTTTTTAAAACGATATTTTATAATCGGAAGACAGGACGGAGTACTGTATTTTTGCATATTGTACCTCCAGTTTCCGTTTCAGATTAATTGCAAATTAAAGAACCCACCAACCCGTGAGAGGCTTCATCAATCTGTCCCTCGTTCGCTAAGTTGGCAGGTGTGGCCACATTACTCCTATGTCGGATATTCAATTTCAAACAGTACGATGAGTCGGTAGTTTCAAATCATTAATATTAAGATAACTGCTACATGCCAGACTAGTAGTTGTCTGCATTAACTGAATTTCGTGCAAAAGTCTTTTCTTTTACGGAACTCGGTCTGTATTCTTGACACATTTTCTTCGTGATAAAAAATTTTGGGAGTATCATATACAGGATTCCTACAAAATAATAATAATAATAATCATTATAAGTTTATTAATGATGGAACTATGATTATTAATTTTATAATAATTAATTTTTTTATATAAAACCTCAATATAATTTTTTTAAAAAATATTTTTATGAAAATGACAGTTAAGTTTTAAAAAAATAAATTGATTAATTTAAATTAAATTTTAATTAATTTTAAAGTGCTAACAAAGTTCTTTAATTTTTCAGTGATAATAAATTTAATAGTTTCAGATATTTGTAAGTTTAGTTTTTAATTTTATAATTTTATTGTGATGAATTTAAAATTTATTTTTAAATTTTAATAAAATTAAAAAATAAATAATAAACAACAGAAAAATGGAAAATAAACAATAGACAATAGAGCTATTTAGCCTTAATATTTTTTAACATTGAAGATGAACATTTGTATTTCTAATTAAAATTTAAAAAATAAGTTATAAATACATCAGAAGGAAGTTGCGAAATCAAGAGTTGAATTTGCATATTAGTGGAATGATTAAACTTAATGCTTTTCAACATCAAAGATGAAGATTTGTGTAATCAGTTAAACTTTTAAAAATAAATTATAAATTCATTATAATAAAATTATAAAATTGATATTCCAACTTGCAAATCTATAGAGTTGTGAAACTTATTAATATAAAAAGACTAAGAGACTTTGTTAGTATATTGAAATTGATTGAGACTTATTTTAAGATTTAACTATAATTCTCTAAATTTCTTCGATCTTGGTATGGAAATTGAGATCCAAAATCATAGTACTAGTATAACTTAAGGTACTTGGTAAATTACCCTTAAACATTATCTTGGGCTTCAATTTCAGAGAGTTTTAATTTACTATCATTCAAATAAAATAAAATAAAAAAATGACAATAAAATTCTATCAAAATATATAAATGACAATCAAGTTTCTTAAAATGACATAATTCCTCTTAGATCCTTATGTACCTTTCTTACATTAATAATTTTACATTAAATGATTAAATTGTCTCTTATTTAAAAAAACCAGTTACAATTTTTATTCGATTAATTATATAAATTAAAAAAATTATAATTTAATGTTTTTATATCATTGAAGTCTAAGTTATAAAAATAATCAGTCTCAACTTGTTTAAGATGATGATTTAAAAACTGGACAGTTGAACTCGATCAAAGCCGTTATGGCTCGGTTTGATTTGTTTGAACTAAAACTATTTTCATGATTGAACCATATTGGATCAAAGTTAAGTCGCTATTGACTTGGAAACCAGAATTAAATCAGAAACTAAAGTAGTTTTTAAAAAATTAGATGGTTTTAAACATAATATTAAAAAAACTAGAAGAATTTAAAAATTAGATCATATTAAAAGCTAACTTTATTTTTGAACAATTCACATGTATAAAATATAATTTGAGATCATTTTTTATAAATATGTTGACAATTATAGATACAAATACAGATATTTTTAGGTTTACTCATATTTAATTTAACCAAGATTCACCTATATTTGACAAGTTATAAAATTATAATTTATAATATTATTAATTTACAGTCATGTTATGTCATTTTATTAACATATTATAAATTTTTTTCTTATGTTTATTATATATATATATTTAATATAATTTTTATTTAATTATTTCATCACCGGTTCGATCATTGATCCAACCTGGTTTGACCATTTTAATCATAAACTATTAGCCTTTTCGATTCAATATCCAATCCGGTTTTGAAAACATCAGTTTAAGCAATCATAATTTTTATTTTGTAAATCGTAAATATTAAATAAGAAATCATAACTTTCTACATAAAAATTATTTTATTATTGAAATTCAAGTTTTAAAAATAATTAATTATAATTTTTATTTAAAAAATTATAACACAGTGAAGAAATATCACCAATAATTTCATGACTCGTCCTTGAGAGTGCTGACTAAGCTGGTAGACCTCTCTCTTATTAGTTGAATAATAATGTACATGAATTATTCTGTGTTGACAAAAAAAAAATTTAAAATACTAGATGTTTATTGTTGAAAAAATTTGAGATATTTTTGCCCAATAACTCTATATATAAACTATCTGTTAACTTCATTTATTTTCAATTTTATAATAACTATGTAATTAAAAAATTGACAATTCAAGTGCATGAAAAAGAAACAATGGTTGAATATGTTTATTTTACAACGACATTTACTTCTTTTCTTCCTTTCAAACGCGCTGAAACATCAACTGCAACGTGCAGGGGTAAGTCTAATTTTGTTGTCTTCTCTTTTCATTGCAGAAGGTGCTCATAGAAGTTCAGTCAATTCCACCTGTAAGATTAAATTAACCTTATGTTTATTATCAATTCATAGTGACTTTTTTCCCTTGTTGGTTAAAGATTAAAAGCAAACACTGTCTATATTTTATTGCCAGTCTCCAGACAAAGGAAGAAGGTTATGTCAAGTTTTCAATAACAAGCATAAAACTTTATCAAATCTCACATAAACACGCACAATAAACGTTTTTGTTGTTGTTGTTGTTGTTAGTTTAAGATAAAAGCTGAGGCCTAAGAATATTAGTTGGCGAGCAGAGACTTCATTTCTATTAAAAATTTATTATCATACCACACATGACAAACTATAACCAAAATATCATTTAATCACAGAGACAAAAATGTCAAATAATTGAAGAGAAAACATGATGAGGTGGTGCATATTTTTACTGGAATTATATTTTTCTCAGATTTCAATTTAAGAGTTATTTCCTGGAACCAGAGTGAACGACATCCGTCTATATATCCCTCACCCTCAGTTTCTTCTGCCATCTTTCTCTCATTTCCTTTCTTCTTTGGTGCTCAATTCCTTCTCTTAGCTAAGGGAAAGCCATGGCTGAGTTGATAGCTGGAGCGTTTCTGTCCTCTTCCCTTCAAGTGGCGTTTGAGAAATTGGCTTCTCGTGAAGTTCTTGACTTCTTCCATGGCAGGAACGTCGAGGATGGCTTACTGAAAAAGCTGCGTATCATCCTTCTGTCTGTGAATCAGGTCATTGAAGATGCCGAGGAAAGGCAGTATCGAAATCGTAACGTGAAGCAGTGGCTTGCCGAGCTCAAGGATGAAGTCTTCAAGGCTGAAGACTTGATCGATGAGATTGCTACTGAGGCATTGCGACAGAAACTGGATGCTGAATCGCAGACTCTGACCGGCAAGGTACGAGGTTGCTTTACTACTTTCATTAATCAAAGGCTGCTCGAAAAGAGCATAGAGTCAAGGATGAAGCAAGTGCTTGAGAATCTAGAGTATCTCATAAAACAAAATGAGATACTTGGATTGAGGCAAGGCCTTCCTGCTGGCACTCCGCAAGGAGTGAACAGGAAAGGGCTCCACAGATCGCCAACAACATCTTTAATAGATGAATCCAGTATATATGGGAGAGATGCTGATAGAAAGGAATTAATAGATCGTTTATTGTCACCCAACACGAGTGGGAATCGGTTTGACCTCATAGCTATTGTGGGTTTGGGTGGGTTGGGAAAGACAACCCTTGCACGACTGGTCTATGATGAGAAAAATATCAAGGACCAGTTTCAGCACACAGCTTGGGTGTGTATTTCTGAAAATTTTGATCGCGTTCAAGCTGCCAAAACAATTCTCAAGGAACTTGATTGTCCACCAGTTAAGCCTTTAGATACTTTTTATGATCTTCAACGTAAGCTAAAAGAGAAATTGACGGGCAAGAAATTTTTTCTCGTTCTTGATGATGTCTGGAATGAGAAAAATCATGATTGGGATGAATTCCAAACTCCTTTTAAAGATGTCGCTGTAGGGAGTAAAATTATTGTAACAACACGTAGCAAAAGGGTAGCTGAGGTCATGCACTCCACCCATATACGTGATTTGAAGACATTACAACATGATGATTGTATGAAGTTATTTGCAAAATATGCATTTAATGACCAACATCATGTTGTTGATCAAATCGGTGTAGAAATTGTTGAGAAGTGTGGAGGATTGCCTCTAGCGATAAAATCATTGGGATGCTTGTTGTGCACCAAATCTCCTAGAGATTGGGAGAAGATTTTGAAGAGTGATATTTGGAATTTGTCAGAGGATGATAGCAACATAATCCCATCTTTAAGATTGAGCTACCATTATCTACCTTCAAATCAAAAGTGTTGTTTTGCTTATTGTTCGATCTTTCCTAAAGATTATAACATTGACAAGAATGTTCTTATCCAATTATGGATGGCAAATGGCTTGTTGCATTCGAGTAATGAGATAAGAGAGAACCTTGAGGAAGTGGGGAATGAAATCTTCAATGCTTTGGAGTCCAGGTCATTTTGGAACCATCAAAAGAAGGTGGTAATTACTTCATTATGCATGACCTTTTGAATGACTTGGCAAAATCTATCATGGGAGAGTTCTCTTTACATCTAGAAGGTGATCGGGCACATGAAATTCCAGCAAAAACTCGTTACCTTTCATGTGATGGTACAAGAGTGGTTGAGAATGTTGAGGATATTTTCGCGTGCCATGAATTACATAATTTTCTCAACTTTGGTTCTCAAATAAAAGGCAGCATGCTATCTAGAATTGCTCGTCTCAAGTTTTTGCGTGCATTATCTTTGGCAAAAAGTTGGCGGGTCAAAAAAATAAATAATGGTATTACCAATTTAAAGCACTTGCGTTATTTAGATCTTTCACAGACTTCCATTACAAGGTTACCAAATTCAATGTGCTCGATGATCAATCTCCAAACATTGAAATTGAAAGGTTGCTATAATTTGAAAATGTTGCCGCCAAAATTACACAAATTGATCAACTTACGTCATCTGGACTTGGAAAATAGTGGTATAATAAAGATGCCCAAATATATGGGAAAGTTGAAGCATCTCCAAACAATGACACATTTTTTTGTGAGAAAAGATGAAGGTTTTCGTTTAAGTGAAATCGGAGCCTTGAACCATTTAAGGGGCATACTAACCATTTCAAATCTTGCAAACCTACATGATCTTGATACAGGGAGAGATGCAAACTTGAAAGAGAAGTGTTTGGATAGATTGAATTTAAATTGGGGACGAGTGGTAAACCGTGAAATGTCACAAAAACAAGAGCAAGTATTGGAGGCGTTGGAGCCAAATTATAGCTTAAAGGAGCTCACCATTAGTTACTGTGGGAGCACTCGATTTCCGAACTGGGTTGCTGATCCTGGTTTACCCAATTTAGTGTCTTTATATTTGCAGGATTGTAAAAATTTTGTGAGCTTGCCAATGCTAGGGCAACTACCTTTCCTTGAGAGACTTAAGATTAAGGGATTTGATGGAATAAAGGTGATCGGCCAAGAGTTTTATGGGAATGCCTGCTCCAGTGCTCCATTTCGGTCACTTATATCTTTAGATTTTGTGAGCATGGAAGAATGGGAGGAATGGAACATATGTTATGAGGGCGACAGTTTCCCATGCCTTGAAGAACTTGTCATGGCGGGATGTCCAAGATTGACAATGTCCCTACCTCAGCACCTTCCTTCTTTGAAAAGACTGTGTATTTTTGGATGCCAAAATCTGGAGACTTTGCTTCCTAAGTCCCCTGTCCTCGAAACTATAGTTTTAACAGAGTGTGTGAAGATTTCAATGAAGCATATGCCGACATGGAGCTCCACAGAAACGCTTCCACCTCTTCATGTCCTATCTTTAAAAAATTGTCCAAAGATGGAATCACTCCCGCAAGGAGGTTTGCTTTCACATCTAAATCGTCTTAGAATTATAAATTGCCCAAAAGTGATTGCTTCTCGTAAGGCTTGGGGTTTGCATGAGCTGCTATCTTTGAAAGAACTTGCAGTTGGTGATGACTTTGAAGATGTGGAATCCTTCCCAGAGGAAGGATTGCTGCCACCCAATCTCCACTCTCTTGTATTCAACGGATGCTTAAAATTAAAAACAATAAATTACAGGGGCCTTCTCCACCTCCATTCTCTTACATCCTTGGCGTTTTGTAAATGCCCAAGTCTAAGCTTCGAAGACATGCCAGAGCAAGGCTTACCCAGATCCCTTTCCGATTTACGTATCAGTTATCGTTGTCGATTGCTTAGGCAGTGGTGTCAAAGAGAGATAGGACCAGATTGGCCCAAAATTTCTTACATCCCTCGCATCATAATATATGATGAACAGCAACGCGTAGAGTTTTAAAGGTACGTTTTGAAAATTACATCCACATATTTTTGTATCTGATAATTTTAATTTCCTGCCTTCATCTATTCACTCAACAACTTCTCGCTTATCTTTATTTTTTGTCGACAACACATGACAACTAATTTCGCTCCAGAAACTTGCTGCGCTTTTCAATCAAGCATTTTCTAATAGCAAAGGCTCATGAGAACTGCTTCATAACTTCACATGTTGCTGAAGTTGTTTTCCCTGCGTTTGATCTGTATGTTTAGAATTCATCTTCAATCAAACAGTCCCATTCAATTTTCCCTCACGATTAAATATAAACAAAAACATAATTTGCAGAGACTCTCCTCTCTTGGGAACATTGCCTAAAGGCTTCAAGGTATTTCGTCAAAGAGAGAACAAAGGACCGCACCCAATTTTAAGCAGAAATAGGAAGCTGTTCTATTGTAATGGTAATTGATTCTTCTCAAAATCTTGTTTTGCATTACTTTAATTTCCTGATGCTTAAACATTTTATCTATCGTTTTTAAATAGATTATGTTAATTCTGTAAGCAAGCAAGTGCGGGTGTTAGTTCATCAAGAATTGAATCATATTAAAGTGAGGTTGTTCTGGCTCAATTCCAATTCACATGTTCCTGCAAGTATATATCCGTAAATGTTGTTTTAATTTGGACACAATAAAATGATTTCTTCCATATACATGTCCGTATTTTAGCTCATCGAAAAATGCAAATATATTAATTATCTTCGTTTATCATTCGGATGAGAACATGTCTCACTTAATGTTGGACTCAAGGTTTCAGCATTTGTTTTCTTGAGAGAGAGAGAGAGAGAGAGAGAGAGAGAGATAGAGCGTGCGCATATATGTGTACATATATGTCAACATATATACTGTGATTATGTGAACAAACCAAGCTACTTTAATTATTATTTTGGGGGTGTTAATTAGACCAGATTTTTCAAAATTCAATATATTGTTGGTGAAGGCACATCAATACTGGTTTTTAAGGCTATAAAAGTCATTTTGGTCAAATACTGAGGCTTTATACATGATTAGAATGCATACATTAAGTTCTCTCATGCATGGCCTTGTACATATTACTCAACAAAATGCTGGTATTGATTTCCCTTTTAAATATTTTATCTTATTTTTAAATATAATCCCATCTATGTAAAAAGAATAAAAAAGTCATTTTCTATTCCTGTCTTCTCTTCCATATGCTAAAGTCAATCTCTCCTCTTACAACAAATGCATGGTAATTGCGTGCCTTTATTAATCGTTATTTTATTTTATTTTTTATGAGAAATAACATCAAAAGATTTTTATTCAGCCTAATCTTGCATTAGTTTGAGATTTCAAAGCCTACATTCAATTTTCAAATTCGAAGAGCTACTTTGTGAAGGTACTTCCTACACCTGCATTGTTCTCATTGACCTAAATCTTCTTGAATTTCCATTTCTTTTCTCTGGTTATATATACATATAGTGTGTAGAATTATTAATAATTAAATAAACATTGTTTTGCGGAGACAACACTTGAAAACATCACTTGAAGGACCCATTTGTATGCATCTTCTTATTCTCACTCTCACCAATGCTGCGTCACTTGAATTGCACATGGACTCATTGGTTGATTTTTTTTTTTTTTTTTGCTGGAACATAAACAGTTTTTAGTGGTTATAGTATGTGTTAATAAAAAAAAATATCTTATGAGGTAGTGACCTGCTCAAAACATATCAATTATATTATTACTTCTTAGTACAATTCATAATATGTCTCAACTAGGCTCTATTTGGTATTCTCATGGCCCTCCTTCCTTATTTGATAATATCTATTTTTATAATTATTATTGACTAAAATTTAGTGTTTTAACTTTTCTTTCAATTGTCAATTACTTTGGCAATGGCTCTCAAAGAGAGACAGGGCAAGATTAATTAACTCTCACATTGTTATGTTGGCTTCATTTATATATGAAAAAAGAAATAGTATTTTGCTGACAAATCACACAAATGAATGACTCATCCGGATGTTGAAGATGCTGATCTTTAGTGATATATTGAAGCTATGCTAGATTAGATTCATTAGAAAGAATTACATCCCCTGTTTTCTTCCATACATATTCAGGAAAAAGCACAATCAAATATATTTTTTTTATCAAATATTCAATTGAGAACACATCTCATTTGGTGTTTAACAATGAATCTTCCTTGAAATTAAGGGTTTCGTTTGCAAGGTGGCAAGCAGATTTTCAAAGAGTTTGAAGAGGGGAACATCTTAGAGAAATGAGTGGAAGAATGAATTAGAAGTGTAAACTAAATAATTAAATGAAGAAGAAATTTGGTGAGGAAGCATCCTCCTTTCAAATTCGTTATTGTCATAAGATTTGCTTCTCCTTATTACAACCCTAGTTTTTGTTTGGCATATAGAGTAATAACTTGGAAGCCTTTGCGATCCATGACTACTACAAGAAAAGAAGTCAGTTGACGAGCATCAACTCAACAAAGGAGTGAGAAAGAAAAATATATGAAATTTTCAAAAATTTCAACAATGTCAATAGTCAAAAGTTACATGACTATACATCAGAAGAGTCTCATTGTTAGAAGGCAAAATAGATTTTAGTGAGTAGGTATTTCTTTCTATTCTACTTCTGTTTTTAGTTTTTATAATCTTTTTCTTTTATGTTATTGTAAGACTAAAAATTTTATAAATTAGAATTGTGTTTTTATGAATCATGGTCATGAAGTTACAGGTTAGGTGCATGGGTAGAACAATTCTAAGTTGTGGTTTGTACATTTTCTTTTGTTTAATATTTTTTGTTGTTGCAATATCTAATGTAACCACGGTATTCCTCCGCCATAAGTGAGGGTTTATTAATAAAATTTAGAGGTACCGTCCTCTTTCCTTTAATGACACAATTAAGTAGAAAATAAGGTTTTCTTATTTAAAGTATATGCCATTTCTTCAAACCACCAGTTGTCATATGCATTATGCATTATGCATTATGAAGTGTACCTAATGCCACATGGATAATAGTTTAATGGTAATTCCTGACTTATTTGCAACTGCTATGAGATTGAGAAGCATAGAAAACAATATCATCTAAAATTGATTCTTTTATACTCACATATTCTAACACACCACATACAATGAAACATAGGATATGTTTGGTTTCTATTTTTAAAAATTATTTTCTCTTTTTAATAATAAAAAATTGAAAAAAAATTTGCATTAGAGTTTTTGATTTAATTGTTTTCAAAATTATTTTCATTTTATATTTTTAAAACAAAAAAATGGAAACATCTTAAAATTATTTCATTTTATTTTTCTTTTTTAAAAAAACATACTAAATTTGATTACTAGAAAATATCATTAGTTTAACAAATTTCTATCATAAATCACTACCATTAACTACCTATAGTCATTACTATTAATATATTTTTTAATTTTAAAACTTCTTTAAATTAATATAGTCAAACATATTTTTTATTTTGTTCTGTTTTAAAAAATAATTATAAAAATTATATTACAAAATATTTTTTAAAAACAAAAAATGAGACAGAATTCAAACATGCCCATGTTATCTTTAGATGCTCTTCAAATGAGAGCATGTCTCACTTGGCGTTTTAAACAGTCTAGTTTCTTGGAGCTAAAGGTTTCAACATTTGTCTTCTTAAGCATATCTAAACTAGGGGGAAAAAAGGAGGAGGATCATTTCAAGTACCTGTTCAGCATCCATTCGTCTTCTAAAGCATGTGGACACATAATAATTCATGTAATATTAGCTGTAATTAGTAATTAGCAATGGGTTGCCCAGTTTGCATGAACTTTGAAATGAATGAGACAACATATCTGTGATTGTGTAACTTTGATATAAAATTTTCTATCTGATATATTTATTTAAAGATTAATATCCATTTAAATATGTCTAATTATAACTTTGATTTGTCTTAAGCAATCTATTTTAATTGAGTGTTTAAAAATCTAACACACACTCCTAGTTTGATACCTGTTTAAAGGGGTATAAGGTTGCTTAAATTTTCACATCCTCAAAATTAATGTTGAGGAAAACCATTTTAAAATTTGCATATAAAGAATTTTGTATACTTCTGCTATGAATGGCTCTAAGGATACTAAAATATGCGTTAGTCTTTAATCTAGATTTTGCTTTGTGTACCCCTTGGTAAATACTTGCAAAATCCTAGCAAGAAAATACTAAAATCATTTTAGAAAATTCTTATATGCTGAAAGGTATATAACACCTAATGTTGGTTGTTAAAAAAAATGATCTTCTTTTAAATTTATGACTATGAGGATTTAGAATGTTCATCCTATATATTCCATAATACAGAGAGGAGTTGTCATGTAAAAATGAGTGTATTATAGATTCTCGTAACTACCTCAATTTAGAATGTGGAATATATATATATATATATATATATACCACTTGTTGTAAGGCCTTTTCTTAGGTTATATAGTTGAGGATGGTATTATTAAACATGCATTTTGTTATTCCTCTAACTATTAATGTGATATTTTGTCTACCTTGAGCTTCTCTCAAAGATTTTGTTGGAGAAGATTATAGACACTTAGACTTATCTGACTCACTTCTGTGGTGAATATATGTTTATGCATGTGTAAGACCAAAGGCTTACCCATGTGAGTTTTATTGATCTTTTTGAGATAGCCTTGATTCAGTGGAAGTTTGAGTTGTGTCCTTTTAAGGATATTTGATGATTTAAGGCCATTTTTGCTATTATGCTTAGTTCTTGTTTCAAAAATAATGAGATGCTTTATATCATTTATTTTTCATAGGATTCAATGATTTGTGTTTATGCATCTTGTATCACTTGTTTTTTCTTGAGATTTAGTGAGATTTAGTGATCTTATATTGTTTCTCCACTGAATTTCAATATAGGTTTAGAGATTTATGGTACTTTGTATCATTTTTTTTCCTATAGGATTCGATGATTCGTGTTAGAGTACCTTATGTCACTTGTTTTTCTATACGATTAAG